CGGACTGCGTGACCAAGACGGACTTCCTTCCAAGGCGGACTGCCTTTCCCAGATGGACTGCCTTTTCAAGACGGACTGCCTTAACAAGACGGACTGCCTCCAAGACGGACTGCCTTACCAAGACGGACTGCCTTACCAAGACGGACTGCCTTACCAAGACGGACTGCCTTACCAAGACGGACTGCCTTACCAAGATGGACTGCCTTTCCACGACGGACTGCCTTTCCAAGACGGACTGCCTGACCAAGACGGACTGCCTTACCAAGACGGACTGCCTTTCCAAGACGGACTGCCTTTCCAAGACGGACTGCCTTACCAAGACGGACTGCCTTACCAAGACGGACTGCCTTTCCAAGACGGACTGCCTTTCCAAGACGGACTGCCTTACCAAGACGGACTGCCTCCAAGACGGACTGCCTTTCCAAGACGGACTGCCTTACCAAGACGGACTGCCTAGCCAAGATGGACCGCTTTACCAAGACGGACCGCCTCCAAGACTGAATGCCTCTGAGACGGACTACTTTTCCAAGACGTACTGGTTTTCCTAGACGGACTGCTCTTCCAAGACGGACTGCCTTTCCAAGACGGACTACCTTTCCAAGATGGACTGCTTTTCCAAGACGGACTGCTCTTTCCAAGACGGACTGCCTTTCCAAGATGGACTGCCTTTCCAAGACGGACTGCCTTACGAAGACGGACTGCCTTACCAAGACAGACTGCCTTACCAAGATGGACTGCCTTTCCACGACGGACTGCCTCTCCAAGACGGACTGCCTGACCAAGACGGATTGCCTTACCAAGACGGACTGCCTTACGAAGACGGACTGCCTTTCCAAGACGGACTGCCTTACCAAGACGGACTGCCTCCAAGACTGAATGCCTCTGAGACGGACTACTTTTCCAAGACGTACTGGTTTTCCTAGACGGACTGCTCTTCCAAGACGGACTGCCTTTCCAAGACGGACTACCTTTCCAAGATGGACTGCTTTTCCAAGACGGACTGCTCTTTCCAAGACGGACTGCCTTTCCAAGACGGACTGCCTTTCCAAGACGGACTGCCTTACGAAGACGGACTTCCTTACCAAGACGGACTGCCTCACCAAGACGGACTGCCTTTCCAAGACGGACTGCCTTTCCAAGACGGACTGCCTTTCCAAGACGGACTGTCTTTCCAAGACGGACTGCCTTACCAAGACGGACTGCCTTACCAAGACGGACTGCCTCCAAGACGGACTGCCTTACCAAGACGGACTGCCTTACCAAGACGGACTGCCTTTCCAAGACGGATTGACTTTCCAAGACGGACTCCCTTACCAAGACGGACTGCCCGAACTTCCTTACCAAGACGGACTGCCCGGACTGCCTTACCAAGACGGACTGCCTTACCAAGATGGACCGCCTCCAAGACGGTCTGCCTCCGAGAGGGACTGCTTTTCCAAGACGGACTGATTTTCCTAGACGGCCTGCTCTTCCCAGACGGACTGCCTTTCCAAGACGGACAGCCTTTCCAAGACGGACTGCCTTTCCAAGACAGACTGCCTTTCCAAGATGGACTGCCTTACCAAGACGGACTGCCTTACCAAGACGGACTGCCTTACCAAGATGGACTGCCTTACCAAGACGGACTTCCTTACCAGGACGGACTGCCTTACCAAGACGGACTGCCTTACCAAGACGGACTTCCTTACCAAGACGGACTGCCTTACGAAGACGGACTGCCTTACCAAGTCGGAATGCATTACCAAGACGGACTGCCTTACCAAGAGGGACTGTCTTACCAAGACGGACTGCCTTACAAAGACGGACTGCCTTACCAAGACGGACTGCCTTACCAAGACGGACTGCCTTACCAAGAGGGACTGCCTTATCAAGATGGACTGCCGTACCAAGACGGACTGCCTTACCAAGACGGACTGCCTTTCCAAGACGAACTGCCTTACCGAGACGGACTGTCTTACCAAGACGGACTGCCTTTCCAAGACAGACTGCCTTACCAAGACGGACTACCTTACCAAGACGAACTTCCTTACCAAGACGGACTGCCTTACCAAGATGGACTGCCTTTCCAAGATAGACTGCCTTTCCAAGACGGACTGCCTTACCAAGACGGACTGTCTTTCCAAGACGAACTTCCTTACCAAGAGGGACTGCCTTACCAAGACGGATTGCCTTACCAAGAGGGACTGCCTCCAAGACGGACTGCCTTACGAAGATGGACTGCCTTACCAAGACGGACTGCCTTACCAAGACGGACTGCCCGGACTGCCTTACCAAGACAGACTTTTTTACCAAGACGAACCGCCTCCAAGACGGACTGCGTGACCAAGACGGACTTCCTTCCAAGGCGGACTGCCTTTCCCAGATGGACTGCCTTTTCAAGACGGACTGCCTTAACAAGACGGACTGCCTCCAAGACGGACTGCCTTACCAAGACGGACTGCCTTACCAAGACGGACTGCCTTACCAAGACGGACTGCCTTACCAAGACGGACTGCCTTACCAAGATGGACTGCCTTTCCACGACGGACTGCCTTTCCAAGACGGACTGCCTGACCAAGACGGACTGCCTTACCAAGACGGACTGCCTTTCCAAGACGGACTGCCTTTCCAAGACGGACTGCCTTACCAAGACGGACTGCCTCCAAGACGGACTGCCTTTCCAAGACGGACTGCCTTACCAAGACGGACTGCCTAGCCAAGATGGACCGCTTTACCAAGACGGACCGCCTCCAAGACTGAATGCCTCTGAGACGGACTACTTTTCCAAGACGTACTGGTTTTCCTAGACGGACTGCTCTTCCAAGACGGACTGCCTTTCCAAGACGGACTACCTTTCCAAGATGGACTGCTTTTCCAAGACGGACTGCTCTTTCCAAGACGGACTGCCTTTCCAAGATGGACTGCCTTTCCAAGACGGACTGCCTTACGAAGACGGACTGCCTTACCAAGACAGACTGCCTTACCAAGATGGACTGCCTTTCCACGACGGACTGCCTCTCCAAGACGGACTGCCTGACCAAGACGGATTGCCTTACCAAGACGGACTGCCTTACGAAGACGGACTGCCTTTCCAAGACGGACTGCCTTACCAAGACGGACTGCCTCCAAGACTGAATGCCTCTGAGACGGACTACTTTTCCAAGACGTACTGGTTTTCCTAGACGGACTGCTCTTCCAAGACGGACTGCCTTTCCAAGACGGACTACCTTTCCAAGATGGACTGCTTTTCCAAGACGGACTGCTCTTTCCAAGACGGACTGCCTTTCCAAGACGGACTGCCTTTCCAAGACGGACTGCCTTACGAAGACGGACTTCCTTACCAAGACGGACTGCCTCACCAAGACGGACTGCCTTTCCAAGACGGACTGCCTTTCCAAGACGGACTGCCTTTCCAAGACGGACTGTCTTTCCAAGACGGACTGCCTTACCAAGACGGACTGCCTTACTAAGACGGACTGCCTCCAAGACGGACTGCCTTACCAAGACAGACTGCCTTACCAAGACGGACTGCCTTTCCAAGACGGATTGACTTTCCAAGACGGACTCCCTTACCAAGACGGACTGCCCGAACTTCCTTACCAAGACGGACTGCCCGGACTGCCTTACCAAGACGGACTGCCTTACCAAGATGGACCGCCTCCAAGACGGTCTGCCTCCGAGAGGGACTTTCCAAGACGGACTGATTTTCCTAGACGGCCTGCTCTTCCCAGACGGACTGCCTTTCCAAGACGGACAGCCTTTCCAAGACGGACTGCCTTTCCAAGACAGACTGCCTTTCCAAGATGGACTGCCTTACCAAGACGGACTGCCTTACCAAGACGGACTGCCTTACCAAGATGGACTGCCTTACCAAGACGGACTTCCTTACCAGGACGGACTGCCTTACCAAGACGGACTGCCTTACCAAGACGGACTTCCTTACCAAGACGGACTGCCTTACGAAGACGGACTGCCTTACCAAGTCGGAATGCATTACCAAGACGGACTGCCTTACCAAGAGGGACTGTCTTACCAAGACGGACTGCCTTACAAAGACGGACTGCCTTACCAAGACGGACTGCCTTACCAAGAGGGACTGTCTTACCAAGACGGACTGCCTTACAAAGACGGACTGCCTTACCAAGACGAACTGCCTTACCAAGACGGACTGCCTTTCCAAGACGAACTGCCTTACCAAGACGTACTGCCTTACCAAGACAGACTGCCTTACGAAAACGGACTACCTTACGAAGACGGACCGCCTTACGAAGACAGACTGCCTTACCAAGAGGGACTGCCTTATCAAGACGGACTGCCTTACCAAGACGGACTGCCTTACCAAGACGGACTGCCTTTCCAAGACGGACTGCCTTTCTAAGACGAACTGCTTTACCAAGACGGACTGCCTTTCCAAGACGAACTGCCTTACCAAGACGGACTGCCTTACCAAGACGGACTACCTTACCAAGACGGACTACCTTACCAAGACGGACTTCCTTACCAAGGCGGACTGCCTTACCAAGATGGACTGCCTTTCCAAGATGGACTGCCTTTCCAAGACGGACTGCCTTACCATGACGGACTGCCTTTCCAAGACGGACTTCCTTACCAAGAGGGACTGCCTTACCAAGACGGATTGCCTTACCAAGACGGACTGCCTCCAAGACGGACTGCCTTACAAAGATGGACTACCTTACCAAGACGGACTGCCTTACCAAGACGGACTTCCTTACCGAGACGAACCGCCTCCAAGACGGACTGCCTGACCAAGACGGACTTCCTTTCCAAGACGGACTGCCTTTCCCAGATGGACTGGCTTTCCAAGTAGGACTGCCTTACCAAAACGGACTGCCTCCAAGACGGACTGCCTTACCAAGACGGACTGCCTTACCAAGACGGACTGCCTTACCAAGACAGACTGCCTTACCAAGACGGACTGCCTTACCTAGACGGACTGCCTTTTCAAGAGGGACTGCCTTACCAAGAGGGACTGCCTTACCAAGACGGACTCCCTTACCAAGATGGACTGCCTTTCCAAGACGGACTGCCTTTCCAAGACGGACTGCCTGACCAAGACGGACTGCCTTACCAAGACGGACTGCCTTTCCAAGACGGACTGCCTTTCCAAGACGGACTGCCTTTCCAAGACGGACTGCCTTTCCAAGACGGACTGCCTTTCCAAGACGGACTGCCTTTCCAAGACGGACTGCCTTTCCAAGACGGACTGCCTTTCCAAGACGGACTGCCTTTCCAAGACGGACTGCCTTTCCAAGACGGACTGCCTTTCCAAGACGGACTGCCTTTCCAAGACGGACTGCCTTTCCAAGACGGACTGCCTTTCCAAGACGGACTGCCTTTCCAAGACGGACTGCCTTTCCAAGACGGACTGCCTTTCCAAGACGGACTGCCTTTCCAAGACGGACTGCCTTTCCAAGACGGACTGCCTTTCCAAGACGGACTGCCTTTCCAAGACGGACTGCCTTTCCAAGACGGACTGCCTTTCCAAGACGGACTGCCTTTCCAAGACGGACTGCCTTTCCAAGACGGACTGCCTTTCCAAGACGGACTGCCTTTCCAAGACGGACTGCCTTTCCAAGACGGACTGCCTTTCCAAGACGGACTGCCTTTCCAAGACGGACTGCCTTTCCAAGATGGACAAGACTGGGGCCTACCAGCCAAAAGGACTTATCACCTCGAAGGTCATCAAGGGACTGCTGTAACTACCTAGATGGTGACCTTCCGATATTGTACCGTGCTCTCACCAAGCGGTTCTATAACCAAGAGTATGACATCCAACACACTAGAATTTGAGTTAACTTCGAACTGGTCAGATCTGAATTGCCTGTGATAGTTCTCAAAATCGCCTCATGCAGCCTCACTTGACGCTCACCTGCTTGAACCCCATGCTCTCCTTCCCATCATGGCTCCACTCCATTCCCTCCTCTGATCACGCTTCTCAGGTCAGTCTCAGGTCAGTCTCAGGTCAGTCTCAGGTCAGTCTCAGGTCAGTCTCAGGTCAGTCTCAGGTCAGTGTCGAGTCACTCTAATCTGGGGTCTCTTTTGACTTGAGCTGGTGTCATGCTCATGCCACTCTCGGTCTTGCACGCCTTGCGAATGCCTGCCCTGGTGTTATCCAATGTGGGAATGCGGGACTAACGATGATATACCTCATCGTTCCCTTCTTCCTCCCCCCTTCCCATCTCTCACCACTTCTCTCACTCCCATCTCACTCGCATTTCCCTCTGGCCCCCTCTGGGCTGTCGCACCTGCATCTCCGAAACACTCACTGCGCTAAAGACATAAAAAACGACTTTCACAACGACACATCCTTCCCCCCACCCCATCACTCACCTCACCAAACTCTCCTCCTGACCCCTCACGGCCTGTCCCACCGGCCTCTCTGTACCACTGCCCCTGCTTCTTCTCATCACCCTGCAGGAGTGCATTTCAGACGTCACTCCGCATCAGTGTCTCCCCCTCCTTCTCCCCATTTCCATCCCCAGTCCCCCACCCCACCCCGTCTTCTTCCCTTTCAACATCCCCATCCCCTTCTCCAACCCCAACCCCATCCCCAGGACCATCCTTTCCCCCGTCCCTGGGTGTGGATGATGCAGCCAGTGGCCTGCAGTACCTTGTCTCCTTGTGAGTTTTTTATCAAGCTTCTGAAAAACAATATCTCACACCCTGATGGGTTGCACAGCCTGCTGGGAGCGTGCATGGGAGAGGGATGGGGGGAGGGTGGGGGGCGTGTGATTGCACACTGGGGGGCCGAACACACACTGGTGGGATGCACAGCCTCCCGAGAAGCGTGCATGAGAGGGGGAGGGGTGCGGGGGAAGGTTTGTGATTGCAGGGGCAGAGCAGACACTGATAGGGCACACAGCCTCTTGAGGAGCGTTGTTGGCGGAGGCAAAGGGGGGCAGACTGCTGTGAGGAGGAGACAGCGCAGGAGGCAGTTGACACATGAGTGGTGGCACCGTCCTGCGCGATCTCAGAGAGCGCGGTCGTCCGTTAGTGCCGCACGTTCACACGCCGAGCCTCAGTTCCCTAAGGTGGGGTGCTTCACCCAGAGCACCCTCCATTTTGCAAAGACTCGCGTGCCTCACGTTTGCATAGTTTCTCGCTCTACCGCGCCGCCTACACAAGGAGAGGCGTCTTTACGGCCAGCTGCACAGCCGGGTATCCACACGAAGATCTGGGCCCGTCTACCCTTCACGTATCTGATCCTGACAGTTTGATGCCAGAGCTCCGAACGAAGGCGAAACAATTTTGGAAGGGCAAGTTCAGCTGGCTTGTCATATATGGCACGCCATGCATGAAGTTCAAAGTCTGCATGACTCACGGTCCTCCGCATTGGAAATACGGGAAGTTTGGCGACGGCGGGGCTGACATTCAGCGGCAGTCTATGCGGAAGCATAGCCTCAGCAAGAAGCATCAGGAGGCGGTCGACCACCAGCTACGCGTAGAAGGCGCTAAGCTCGCGCAACGAGGCATCGCGGATTTCGAGAAAGCGGACAAGGAGACGGCTCGGTTGAAGAAACTCATGCTCACGGTCCTGTTTATCTGCAAGTCAAAATTCCCCTATTTTCGGGTATGCTGTTCTTGTGCGCCTTTTGGCAGACATGGGGACGCATGACATACCTGATAAGGCGATAGGAACGTATTAATCTGAGTACATATTGTTGTAGTACTTACTGTGAAACATTATATATAGTATTGTTCTGTAGGCTATAGTGGGTTATCCTTTAAGGGGTATATCATTCTAGGGTTTGCTACTTGTATCACCAATGTTCATAGTTCCTTCACTTGTTGATTCTTACATGGTATTAAGAGCGTAGGTCCTAGCCCTAGGACTGCTTACCTAAGGGCCCATCATTCCGCTAGTCGCGCCCTCGTGCGCCTTCTCCTAATCGCGCCCTCGTGCGCCTCACGCCTAGTTTGCCCTCGAGCGCCCCGCTTTTTCGGCCGCGTCGCCCGCTAGTCGCTCGCGCGGCCCGTTTTTTGCCCGCGTAGCCCGCTAGCCGCCCGCGCGCGGCCCTCTTTCTGAGCGCGCGCCCACCCCTAGCCGCCCGTGCGACCGGCGCCGCCCACGAGCAGCCCCTAGCCGCCCGTCGACCGCCGCCTAGAGCGTCGCAGCCACGCCCGTAGACCGCCACGACGCCCTCTCTAGGCCGCCGCCCACGCACTAGTCAGGCTCAAGCGCAGCCACGGCCCGCCCGCTACAGCCGCCCACGCGCACGCCCCTAGTCGCGCACCGCCGCGTAGCCCAGCCCGAACCGAGCCGCACCGCCCGAACCGAGCCCCGCCAACCGAACCGAGCCGCGCCGCCCGAACCGAGCCGCGCCGCCCTACTGTGCCCCACCTAAAGCGACTCCTGTTCCTGTTCCTACTGTACTACTTCTTCAACTGCAGCTGATACTACTACTGCTACTACTGCTACTGTTCCTACTGCCACTATGGCCACTCCCTCTATTCTCACCTTAGACGCTGAGGGCCGCCCGATTAAGTTTGAGGTTTGGTTAGATGACCTCCACCTGTTCCTCCAAATCACTGCCAAGGACGATGTCTCCCTGTACGACCACACGTCAGGCGCTGCTCCCGCACCTCCCGCTACTGCTGACAGTACTGCTCGCTCCTAGTGGCAGACCCGTGATGCTCATGCTCGCCTAGCCGTTCGCAGCCACCTGCCGTTAGATGGGCGCGAGCACTTCGGCCAGCATAAGACCGAAGGAGCTGTACGACGCAGTAGTCGCATGCTACTCCTCCCCTACCACTGCTGCTATAGGCCGCCTCTCACTGCCCTACCTCTTCCCCGACCTGTCTGCCTTTGCCACTGTAGCTGACCTCATCACCCACCTCCATACCAGTGACCTCCGCTACCGTGCCACACTCCCCCCCGATTTCCTCGCCAAGAACCCCCCCCCCCCCCCCCCCGATGTACCTCACACTGTACCACCTTGTCACCCGCCTCCCTGACTCCCTTCGCACTGTCAGGGACCAGTTTCTCGCCCTCTCCCCCACTGACCTCACTGTCGACCTCCTCGAGAAGGAACTCCTAGCAGCTGAGAAGAGCATTGTAGCTGTAGGTGCCTCTCGTGGTGACCCCCGCACCCCCTTCTTTGAGGGGTGCTCCCCATCCCCCCTCCTCCCCTCCATTGCATCTGCTGCTGCTGTCGACTACCTCGGAGCTGAGGGGGTCGGGGCTGCGTCTGCTCCTAGTGGGAGTCGCAAGGGCGGCAGGGGCTAGGGGGGCAAGGATGGTGGAGGTGGAGGTGGGGGCGGCGGCGGTGGAGGGGGTGGGGTGGGCAGGGGTGGTGGCGGAGGTGGGAGTGGCGCGGGTGGTGGGGGGGTCGGTGGCGGCACGGGGGGTGGTGGCGGCGGCGGTGGTGGAGGTGGTGAAGGTGGTGGTGGCAGTGGTGGCGGCGGTGGAGCGGGTGGCGCTCGCGGTGGAGCGGTACAGCGTGGGGGGTTCGGCAGTGGCCAGAGGCAGCAGCAGCAGCGTCCCGGTGAGACTCCCTCGCCCCAGCAGCTCCGTGAGTGGTACTCTCAGCGTGGGGGGTCTGGGGGTGGGGGCACCCGCCTGTACGTCATCCGCACAGGTGACCGCACTGGCCAGACCTGTGGGAGGTTTCGCACGGCACAGCGCTGTTTCTTTCGCCTCGACGACGCCTGGCGCGAGCAGTTTCCCGACGCCTCTGAGCTGCCCCGCGGGGCTGATCGGCTTAAGAAGGGAATTGATATCTTTGCTCTTGACTATGATGCTATCCTTGCTGCTATGTATGCATTGACTATTAGTGTTGAGGGTGATTGCTACCTGAGTGTACCGCCTGACCCGGGTATTGGGACCAGTGAGGCTACAACTCTAGGTGCTAGCGCGTCTGCTCCTCCAGATCCTGGTGAGGCTGCTGCCCTAGGTGCTACTGCGTCTACGTCTGCTGGTACCGCACCTACTAAGGCACTACACACCTTCACACTGGACTCAGGTGCTTCTCGCTGTTTCTTTCGCAACCGCACTGCCCTCGAGCAACTTCCTAGACCGGTTGCTGTCTCCCTAGCTGACCCCTCAAGGGGTCCGGTCCTTGTGACCTCCACCACTGCCCTCCCTTCTCCTGCTGTCGGGCCTCTACCTACCCCCGTTCTCAACGAACTTGGTGGCGGGGTCAGCGCTCCAGGACGCGGGTGTTCACCAGTTCACCCTGGCCTACGAGCGTGTCACGCACTGCACGTGTGCCCGGACGGGTCGTCACCTGGCTACCTTCACTCGGCAGCCGGGGTCGGACTTGTACACATTGACCACTGTGTCCCCTCAGGTAGCTGCGTCTGCGTCTGTGTCAGCTCAGCTGTCGGCCCCCTGCTCGTGTCGCTCCCTGTCGCACAGGACTGTCCTCTGGCACCACCACCTTGGTCACCCGTCAGTGCAGCGCCTTCGCAGCATGCACTCCAGGTACCTTGTCTCTGGTCTTCCCAGAGTTCTCCCTCCCCTGCCACCCTCGCCTGCTCCTCCCTGTCTTCCCTGTGTCGAGGGGCGGCAGCGCGCCGCTCCTCACTCCTCCTCGTTCCCACCCACAGAGGCTCCCCTGCAGACTCTCCACCTGGACGTGTGGGGCCCTGCCCGTGTCCAAGGACAGGGCCACAAGCGGTACTTTCTGCTGGTCGTCAACGACTATACGCGCTACACCATGGTCTTCCCCTTGCATACCAAGGGTGAGGTCCCTGATGTCTTGATCCCATGGATCCGCGCTGCTCGTCTCCAGCTCCGCAAGCGGTTCCAGTCAGACTTTCGTGTCCTACGTCTGCACTCCGACAGAGGTGGCGAGTTTTCCTCTGACCTCTTGGCAGCCTACTGTGCGGAGCATGGCATCCGCTAGACGTTCACTCTCCCGGCCTCTCCGCTGCAGAGTGCCGCATTGGTCTTCTCATGGAGGTCGCTCAAATGTGACTGCCCCCCATTTCCTGTGGCCATTTGCAGTGCAGTACGCTGCGCATCAGCTCAACCTCTGGCCCCGTATCTCCGTTCCGGACACCTCGCCCACCCTGAGTTGGACGGGGGAGGTTGGTGATGCGTCGGTATTCCGAGTCTGGGGATGTCGAGCTTTTGTCCGCGATACGTCCGCGGACAAGCTCTCCTCCCGTGCAGTTCCCTGTGTCTTCCTTGGCTTTGTCCCTGACGCGCCTTGCTGGCAGTTTTACCACCCCACCTCGCGTCGTGTCTTCGCCACTCAGGACGTCACCTTTGACGATTCGGTACCCTTTTACCGTCTCTTCCCGTACCGCACTGCCCCGCTCCCCCCCCCCCCCCCCCCCCCCCCCCCCCCCCCGCCCACTAATCTTCCTCACCCCAGGTGTCCCGTCGGTAGACCCCCTCCTTCCACAGGGTGCTGCTCCCTCAAGTGTTTCCCAGGTAGACCCGGTCGAGCCTATCGAGGTAGCTGTTGACTCTGGTCCTGCGCGAGGTACTGAGCGTGCTGAGCCTGGTGGTGCTGGGTCTGGGGGCACTGAGCTTGGGGGTGCTGAGCCTGGGTGTGTGGAGACTAGGGGTGCTGAGCCTGGGGGTGCGGAGAGTGTAAGTGCTGAGACTAGGGGTGCTGAGACTGGGGGTGTTGAGACTGGGGGTGCTGAGCCTGGTGGCACTCCCTCTTCGCAGCA